GGGGGGCAGACACAGTCTCTATGGGGTACTGGGAGCGTTGGGTGGGTAGCAGCTGCAAGGAGACAGCAGAGAGGCGTCTAAGACTGCGACCCTGCATCCTGGACTCAACTCTGGGTTGTCATAATTTAGGTTGTAAAACAAACTCGTCCAGATTTCTAGATAAGAGAGCCGCACCACCCAAAGTGGGATGGATGCCATCTCTACTAATCAGACCAGGTTTTCCCCAAAATGTTTTCCAGTTGTCTATGAATCCCACGTTGTTTCTATCAAAAAAGAACAGATCACAATCAAAAACTAAAACTACTGGAGTTTGTGTGATACAACAACAACAACAAAAAACTCTTAAAAGCATTCATGATTTTATTATTACCCTCTTCAAAACCTTCCAGAGGATTCACCTGTTCTCTAAAACAGCTTGACTCAAGTTACATACGTTTGTCCGGCCACTCCATACAATTACTGCCATTGTGCCACCAACTGCAGCATGAGGCCTGACCTCTGCATGGAGTCATTTTCCAGTAGCACTGACCTTTCTCAAGTAGTGAGGGGATTCCAGTTGCTGACAGATGTAGGGCTGTTTACTTGTTGCCCGTCTACAGGGTGAGTTTGGTGACCCCAGGGGAGCCTGCACAGGGAATCGACTCTACTCTCAGAAACCACCTGGTGAATGTTGCTGGCATCTAGGTCTTGTCCTGTTTATCTTTTTGTACAATGACTATTTCAGTGGAAATATAGGGCATTTATAGTTACTTTTAATGATTGTGTAAAATAACAGTATAGTGCATCAACTCTTCTGTAAGAAGATGCACTGTTCTTATATATATATTTCAATTAATATATGCAGGTTTCAATCAATATTTTCATTCCATTTATTTCCTCACTGTTCTTATATATATATATATATATAGTGTTTATAATGAGTACAAGATCTTTGACTGACTATGGTACACACTTGTTTGGAGAGATTTTTTCAGTCTGCAGAGAGGAACGCGACAGTCATTTTAAACCTCTGCTGCACCCTGCTGGAACAAATGGAAAGCTGCAACTGGTCTTACAGTGGTTGGTCAACAAAAAGTCAGACTACTTGACTGACATACACAAAATGAATTGACAAATACAACATATTCAAGAGTAGACTTGAATAAATGGTTGGACTTCACATATTGTGTATATTGTAAAACATGGTACTAATCTTAAATGTCTTCAAAAACCTAATGACCATACATCACGGTTTTTCTAAATCTTTTTTTTTTTATTTCCAACATTAGGCATGTGCACTTAAGTGTGCAAAACATTACAATGACTATCTGTATAATCCAGTTCAATGCAAAATCACCATTTTTCTATATATTTCCATAAATAATTTTCTGTTTCATAATGGGCTGTGATTTAATTTGCTATGGCTCCCTTATAGAATAGGAGGTTTAGGTTCATTGACTCCAGTTCAATACTACTGCAAAAACTGTACAACATATCAGACTTTGGTGGCGATAGAACAGTAAAGTCCTGGTTCTCTTCCGTGGTTGTCCACAGTGTTTACACAACACATACAAAACACTGGAAGGATATTCTACATATTTTGATGCAGAAGAAATGAAACAGTACACAAAATAGCATCACAGGGTGAGTGTGCAGACATTCAGCAGACACAAGTAAACATACTTGGGCAAATAAATGTTTTTCTGCCATGTTTTATGCTGTGACATAGTAATAAATGCCTTTTTTCAAGTACCGGTAAGTGTTTGCTTTATTCACAGCACCTTAATTATTTTGATGCTGTTAATTGAGTATTCCTGAAATTTAAATTAGCTCTTCTGATTCACAGGTCTATATAACTCTTACACCAAACGCTGTTCTAAAAAATGCACTATCGTTGCCAGTAGAGCCTGCCAGTCTATCTGATTTCAACCACCAAACAAACTCTCTTTGCTTGTAATGTTTTTAATGTCCCATCTCAGAGTGTCTCACAGTAACCAGTCCATCTCTCTCTACCCCAAACAGACAAGGTCTACTCTGACGCTGACCTGCAGGGCTCATCGTCTGACAGTGAGGATGAACTGATGGGTCAGTATCAGGAAGCAGTCATCCGCTCCCAGGGCCTCCGAGGTGGAGCCAAGGCCACTGCTAATGTCAAACACGCAGGAGGTTTCAGCTGGGAGAGCCGGCACAAGTACAGCCCTCTGACCGTGGATTATGACGGCTACAGCAGTGAAGCTTCAGCTGATGACGGTAGGCTCTGTATCTGTGAATGAAAATACAAAAGCTAGTCTGCTTCACTGTTAGCATTCATATACAGACCCGTAAGTGGTTTTAGGGTATTGCTCCTCACATTCACTTTAAATCTTTGGTTTATTTTTCCATCCACAGAGGGTGTCTCGGCTATACAATGAAATATTGCACTTAGTACAGTTATTTCCTTAAAGCTGCAGTAAGCTGGAGCCCGGTGCACAGACTCTTCTGCACCCCTATCAGACCAACAAACACAAGTACACCACACACAACCTACACACTGATCCACTCTGTAAGTTAATCCAGAGCGGTGATCAAAGTGAAGCTCCCGTTCAGCACACTCTCCGTGGGAGGATTGTGAAACAGTCAGCTGTCTGCACTATCTACACAGCCCCCACCTTTTTTTGATGCATCTCTATTTCCCATAAGCCAGACCATCACACAGTGTTTTCCATTGTGCATGGAAGGCAGGTGTATTTTTTTTTTTTAGTACAGACCAAGTCATAAGTCATCTGCCACTTGACTAGGAGTACGTGTTCCTGATTTATTAAACTTTATGAAAGTATTGTGTGCACACTTCAGCCTCACACAACACAACATCATTTAGTTTTTGTTACATGTATATTGGAACTATGTATTTTGATTGTATGGTGCTAAAATGAGTGAGACTGAGAAGATGTATGTACCAAAATATTTAAAGGACTGGTTCAACATCGAGGAAATACAGTAATTCACATTGTTGCTGAGAGTTAGATAAGATGATCAATACCACTTACATGTCTGTAAACTAACCCCCCGCCCCTACCTCTTTAATTGAAAAAGTATTGAGTTATTCCCTTTAAATGAGGGAAATAATTAAAAGAAATTTTTGCATTTTGTCTGCTACATAGTATAAAAAATAAGACCCCAAAATCAAACAAAAAAGTCATAAAAAAATGTTGTAAAATGTAAAAAGTAATAAAAACTGGAACATGGTTCGACATGACTGTTTACCATTGATCTGTGTTTTAATAAACGAGACACCTGATCAATTTAAAAGGGTAGAAGTAGTGATATCCTGCAGAATGATAGGCCTCTGCTCGACATCCTCAGACAGGATTTATGCAGTATGACTGTTTTTCAAAGACACAAACAGTCGTGTGTGAACCAGTGGCTTCGAGGCTTAGTGTCTGTCACCATCTGTTTAAAGGAATGTTTGAATATTTAGCGAAGGAATAAAAAGGGCATGGCATGCTTATGACTCCATTCATGTAGAAGCAAGCAAGAGCTGTACAAGGTTGTCATTATGCAGGTGCTGCAAAAGCTGTGTGACTCTTCTTAACCACTAGATGGTCTCTGTCATCCTCAGTCTGGATTCAAATACCAGATGAGGAAACAAGGGCAGGTTCAGTGATGTCATATTTCAACATTTTCAGGTCATTTTGAAGTGCGTAAATGGGAATTACTGAAGCTGCTTTCACTTTTGTAATGTCTACTTATGAATCTTTGTCATCAGTTGTATGTCCACCAGATGGTACTAGATCAGTGAAGTTTTTTTCCCCTTTGTAAATTAATATATTTTGGAGTCCAGGAAAGGAGTCAGAGCAGCGTACAGCACAGCTACAATGATACGAACCTAAAAAAAAAAAAAAAAAGAAAACTTTGAGTAGCATGATTTTCTTTTCCTTCTTTCTACCATGTTAGAAATTTTACCCACTGAGGTTCATTTACTGGTCTTGGGGGGGGAGTACTGCTAGGTATGTAAAAAACTGTGTTTATTAAATTTGCATCTAAAGAGGGAGCTGTGCTGAGTTAAATAAATTGCCTCAAGTGATGTCACTTTACTCAGGGTTGGTTGGTGCTGAAGACTACAAGTTTGAAAATGATAAAATAAAAAAATGCCTTTGACAAGGAAAAAGAATGTGTTGGGGGGAAACAGTGTCTCTGGTTGAGCTGCATTGATTCTGATTAACATTTTTTTTAACTGTCTAACTCCTAGTCTGGTATTATAAGAGTGCAATGCTACATCTTTTAAAGGTTTCACAACCTCTCAAGTTTATCACAGTGTGGGGTCCCAACTCCTACATTACAAAGACTATGAAAATTGAGATGAATTACCATGTGTCTTTGGGGTCATGCTGTATTTATTTGAGCATACAGTATATTTTGAACAGTATTGACTCTTAGCCTTCTTCTAACTCATAACAGTTGTGTGATGCCATGATCTTAATTCTGTCAAACACAAAATGCTAAAGCTCTTAATCCAATATAGAATAAATTTAGGGGACTGTGTCTTTTAGAAAATATTCTGTGGTGATATGACTAGAAAGGTATACTGTAAGTGTTTTTAATGTATTTTAAAAAAGGTGTTTATGCCACATTTAAGACATTTTTTGGGATGGCTGACTATTGACTGACTATAAGTTATGTAGTGAGTGTTCCTGGCTGCCTGGCAGCTTTCATTTTATATTTACTTGCTTAGTATTTTAGCTGTCAAAGGTCTCAAATCCCTTTAAAGGTATTTGAAATTATACAGTAAATTCCTCATTTAATTTCTTTTTATAAAATAAAAGGAGGGCACTAAGAAAACATAATCATAAAGGTCAGGTCAAAGATATTTCTAGTTCCTCAAGACCTGTTGTGGTTTATCAGATTACTGTAATCAGGTTACTTTGAATCCACACTGATCCAGTCTACAGCCATGAGAGGAAGTGAAGTGAAAACCCTGTCCATCTATGGCTGCACTTTGGTTGAAGTACAAGAGAGTCATTATTTTCCTCCCTGTGGTAAGGCTTTGACAGCTGTGGTTTTCTCTCCCACCAAGTAGTCATGGATCCCAGCAATGAAACAGCCTTGTACCAGTACTAACGTCAGGTCACTCTTTCTCTTCAAAACAGACAAATGTTATGTATAATTTAGAGCTTCCATGGGAGAGTTGAATACCTTTTTTAAAACTTAAATTAATTATTTACATAATTACGTTTAATTAATTGCAAACAAGCTGTCATGAAGGTTCAAGGGGCCTGTAATATTTTCTCTTGACCTCCACTGCTGCTTGAGTTTAATCTGAGTCTGAGCTTCATCCTCAGGTCATACGGTGGCTTCAGACCTCTTCACCTTTTGTGCACCTGTCTTGTGTTGTAGTTGTAATTTTAAATAGAAAACTGAAAACAGGATGCACCTGACCACAATATGGAGTGCCCGAGCAAAAGTCCTAAATACTTAATGAGAGATCCCAGTTTTTGATTTTTAAAAAATTTGTGTAAAATTTTTTCTAAAAACATGTTTTCACTTACTCATTAGGGGAATTGTGCACCGGCTGTAGAGTTGGGGAGTTCAGCTCAAAACACCAGTTAAGAAATGAAACTATGGTTTGCATGAACCAACGTTCATTCTTTTCTGAGTGTTGTGACCAATTGATGAGGACAGTTTTGCTGAGCAACACATCACAATAGATTTTACTATTGTTTGCAATAACTAGGATAACAGTATTATGAATTGTAACAGTGAAATGACTTAATCAAACTACTGTAAATCATAAAAAGTAAATGCTTGCTTACCATCATTATAGTTAAATCTTGTTTTCATTATGAGTTATGTTATGTTTTGGATGGAACCTATTACAACATTTCTTTCTAAATGCTAAAAAAGCTACAACTAAACAGTAAGTTTAGCACTGTCTGAATATCCAAACTGCTTCTGGCTATGGCAGTAAAGCAACCAGAGGAAGCAGTACTCTTTACTCATAAAAGGCTAATAGTGCCATAATATACTGCAATACAAAAAGGTTTAACCTTTTATTTTCATTTAATTTCATTCATCAGCAGAGCCCTATTCATATGTATGTAATGACCTACAGTATAATATACAGTAATCTGAGGTTAATGTTACTTGAGCATATTCTCACCTTTTTAAAGTAATGAAGTTCAGTCTTTAGTTAATACCATTATCAGCTTTCTTTTGTAGAGTTAGATGGCAGATCAATATCCACCTCATGTTAATGAAGCTAGAGCCATGTTGTCCATGCGTTAGCATAAAGACTGTAAACAGGGAAAAGCTAGCCCGGCTCTCTACTGCTTACACAAGCTCACTAATTAGCACATTGTATACTGTTTCTTTAAAGTACCCAGAAAAGAACTGTAAAAACAGCAGTTTGCTGTTATAGGTCGACTTACATACTGTATGCTAAAAATCAGGGCCGCAGTGAGGTTGCCAAATGCACCATGACGTAGTTAGCTTGCACAAGGACCTACAGTGAAGTAGTTTCAGCATGGGTAAAACTGTGCTACCCACCACCATGTGGCAACCCACACTATAACCTGAAACATTGCACCAGGGTGCTGTAACCTGACACACGTTACTGTTAATTAGTGAGCTTCAAAGAATGCTAAGGTCTATATTTGAGCTTTGGTGGGAGCCAGACTAGCTTTTTCTCATGTACTACCAGTCAGGTCAGATGTGTTTTTCCCTTCTTAGAACCATGGGCAGTGCAATAAAGCGTGCATCTCATTTGTCACCTAAGATATTTATAACTGAGTTTCACAGTCAGGATTCACAAAGCTCAAACTGTTTCCCCACTTACAGAGGCACAACAAGGCACAACAAGGCAGATGGGATGAAACTCTGTGAAAAAAGGGTGCGTTAGACAAGTGGAGAAATGGTAACCATCCCAATTAGCGGGCTGGAGGAAAGAGAGTGCTTTTACACAGCTGCCTTCCATCAAATCAACCGCCCCCGGCACAGCAGCAAAAAAGCTACTCAAAATGGATTTGCTTCTTTTACCAAGCCCTCCATGACACTTAGTTAAAAACTCCTTTGCTGCTGCCCTGCCACTGATATGTGCCACTTTGAAATGGTGTCTCACTGACATTATTAAGAGTAAAAGTTTCAAGAACTTGGCAGAAAGATGGAGTTGGAGTGGATTACGTCATCATAGTGTTGGCTTTTTCCAAAAGTTAGAATACAGCATAAGAAACAGAGTTTTTTCCAAGATTTTTTCTTTTTCATTTTTTGTTTTTTGCTTTAGCACTCATCACCAGTGCCCCTATGGGAGTATTAGCAATGGCTGCTCAATTTTTTGTGAATCCAAATTGGACAAGTGAGGCAGATTTGAGAATTCAGCTGACACCACTATTCAAAGTGTTTTTTTTTAAATAACTGTAGCCTTCTTTTTGCCTTGCAGGCAACTGAATCATTTGGAAAGATCAGAGGTATGAAATTTGTGGCATAATAAGAAGTGTTGAGTTCAGTCCTTTAATGGTACTTGCCAGATGTTTTACTTAGGTTGTGCTTTCAAAAGATTCCTCTCACAGTGCACATTATGTTCACAAGGATGCACAGCGTAAGCTTCATTTATCAGAGTGAGAATGAAATCTTTGAGAAATGGTGTTAGTACATAAACAGTATAGATTTAATCTGAAAATAAGACCATGAATAATGATTTGGCACCGAGGTGCAGCTGCTGACGAAACATTATTATATTTACTTAGAGCCTCAGTAAAATAAATAAATAAATAGAGCAACTACATGAATAACTGCAGACTGTGTAAGTCTTTTGTAATGAGTGTTTGGCTGTCGATAAGATCAGCCTTTGCTAAGTAATCTTGAGTTGAGTTTGTAAACTCATTATGTTTCCACATTCATCTTACACTGTTTCTGAAAATAGAGACAAATATTTGAGAATGACACCAAATCCATCCATCCATCCATCCATTTTCCTCCGCTTATCCAGAACCGGGTCGTGGGGGCAGCAGTCTAAGCAAAGATGCCCAGACTTCCCTCTCTCCAGACACTTCCTTCAGCTCCGCCGGGGGAATGCCG